CGTCATTACTAGGTTTAGAATCCGAGTTGTTGTCAGTGGTGCCCGGCCACTTTAGTTTCTGCAAAATTCTGGTTTGTAATAAGCAAGGCAACTTTGCCTATGGATATTTATTAATTAGTTAATTTATATTTGATGTGATGAATTGATTGCCTTTAGGACTGCCTGCTTTTCTTAGTTTTTTAGTAATTGTGTGCCGCTTTTATTTTCGCCTGGATACGTGAGACTCGTGAGGGTGTAAAAGTTTTCTACTCGAAATCTTAAATGTCTAAAATTTTAGTGAGTCTAAATAACATTGAAAGATAACGAATCTAGGGAATTAGCCGGGGATCGACCCCGGGGTCGCATGCATATTTTTGCATTATTCTTTCCTTGCTTTAGACCCTTCTCCGCCTGCGAGTAGAGTCCGGATAGTCTGACCTATGAGGACGAGGTGCCGGACCTGGGGAAGTCTAGTATTCTAAAAAAAAGTATTTTCTAAGCCTGTTTTTTAAATTTCAAGCATATTTGATTTAGAAGTTGTCGACCAGCATGCATTGCATTAGATACAAATTAAAAGAGTAAAAATTTTAATTGCATCAGTTTTAGCATTTTAGCACCCAACATAAGTCGAAGGGGCCAATTAGGAAAATTGCTAGATGTCGACCCCAACTCTCCAAAATATTAAGTACAACGTCCCTACCACTTTTTCGTAAAAAGACCTGACTCATCTCTTTTAAATCGATTAGGTGGTTAGCTGGCTCCCCAATCCAGGCCGGGGTAAGTCCAGGCAGTGTGTTACATTAGTTAGGTTAGGACGACTGTGGTCCAGTGTCCAAAATAGATTTAGGATCCGGGGCAAATCTTTGATCATAAGACCACAAATTTTGGGAGTATAATCCCAAATTTCTAATAAGATGCTCAACTTCAAGTAAAATTTTTCTTTCAATCCTAAGACATAAAGTCCAACACTTAGATTAAGTTGGGACACTTCCGGATGGTTCTGGAATCTCAAAGTGTCCCCTACCTTTCATCCCCTGACTCTGTTAATAAATGTTCAATCTTGATCCATTCCCTCTTGATTTTTCAAAAAATTTCATTCGTCTTTGATATCACTCTTAGAAAATCTAAAAAAAATTCATTATTATTTTAATCGAGAGTTTTCGTAGGGGTCCCTGTCTCCCTACGATGTAATTAACTACGAGGGCTTGCGCTCGTAGGAGATTTGGAACCACACGCACTTGATTTCAAAATTAATCTTTTTTAAATCTTCTTAGATTTCTTTGGGAAAAGTTAAGGAATGATCGTCGTTATTATATCAGAAGAATTATCATTAAAAGGTGTTATCTCCTTTCGGGGAGGTACATCCTTCTTTGATAAGGCTTTGGATATAAATTCGACGATCATACTTCTTGGATATCATAACTAGATATTTAGTTGAACTTTACCTTGTCCCCTAGGGGCCATATAAAGTTCACCTTAGAATCTGGTTATGATATTGAAGACGAGTTTTGTAATTCTAAGTCTGATTACTGTTATGAAATTTTATTTTCGTCCTTCGGGGCGATATACTTTTTCTACCGAGTTGATTTAACTCTAGAATTAGAATCCAATTTCGATTTTAAAATTCCCAAAGAAAGCTAATATTTTCAAAACATGTTTTCAAAATTCCACCAACAAAAGAGAATGGCACGCCCGGTGGGACAAATCTCTCTCTCCATCTTTAATAACAATGAAATTTTGTTTCATCGGTAGTCTTAACTACCTTACTTCCGTTGGTCCCACAACCCATTTCTTTCTTGGGGGTATGTGGCCAATATCTAAAAACAATTGAAAACATTAAAAGAGAGGTTCTACCTACAAAATTTATTACGTGCTAACTTAATCGTCCTTATTTTGACCTTCTGCCCTGGGATTTCTTATGAGGCGACAGTGTCAAATAAGGTCCCAAAATATTCTTTTTAAAATTATGATTACCAAATGTCACATTCAATATACCAATTTTTCAAATTGAAAGGATTTTAAAAAAAACCTTCGATTTTAAGAAGTTTTGAAGTATTTTTAGTCTGAACCCCTTTACTTGGGTTTGAGGGTTAGACTGCTTGCTTTACTTGGGTTTTCTTCTTACAATTCCATAAGCCTTCGGGCAAGGGGAAACTCTATCCGTTGTGTTTTGGATTTTGTAGAAAAAACCCCTTCTTAATCATTCAAAATTCAAATTCCCTTCAAAACATAGAAAATAAGATAATAATAATTTTCTCCAAGTTCCAAACCTTCATATGTTACCCCATACGACCATCTTATGGGCTAACATATGTTGACCTTTTGAGAAAACCCATCTTTTGGAATGTATTTAGTCTCTTTATCTTCTTAACATGTGTTGGGTGTTTTCTACCACTCAACATGTGTTGAAAGGTTGAGGATATCCTACAAGCCTTAAGTTTCAAGATAATAAACGCTTTTCCACTTCTCTTATTAGAAATCTAATTTCAATCCCCTCTTTAATTTTCAGAAAATTCAAATGGCTGGCCAATTGATCTTTTATTTCGACCGAGAGTTATGCTCAACTGTTAATGACCAAGGGAGCACTATCATCTTTAGAATGGGATTCACTACCCTTGAGCTCTCTATGGATGGACACCAGATTGTTAAGTTTGGTTGCCAGTAAGGAAGTTACCCCAGTGGTTGAGTTGATTGTGGGATCTGCACCTACCTTGCCAGTAATTAGTGATGACCAGAAACAGTCTGAGCTAGTTGTTGAGCCTCCCACTGAAGTCAAATCTGTTTTTGAGGAAGGATCTAATTCCGGACTTAACTTCTCCACTAAGAATCAAAAGAAGAACTATTTGAGGAGACTTGGGAAGAAGATCTCTAAGGCAAAGAGAATTGTTCCTTTTAAGACTTTAGCTCAAGTAGAGCCTGAGGTTGACGAGGAGCTACCTATTCCTGCTTCCTCTCCCCTTCTGAAAGGGAGCCGCTTTTACCCCTTAGCTTCAGCTCAAGGGGAGGAGAGGATAGCTAGGATAGCCTGTTACCCACCATGCCCGGTCGACTACACAACTAAAAAGACTCCAAAGGAAAAGCATCTACAGAAAACAAGGGCTTTGAGAAACATAATTCACACCTGTGCTGCACAATCTGGGCAAACAAAGGAGTAGTACCTGAAACAGTTGAAGGAAGTGATCTCTCATCGCTTCCAAAAAGAAGTGTTAAAAAAAGAGGCATCTGAGGCGAAGAATTTGACTCCACAACCTGTTAGGAGAAATAAGAAGTATGCTAGACAGCCCGCCACTTCAATACTAGTTGATGGATACCACTGGGCGCCACGCCCTCCTTCCAAGACGGAGGGTATTGTGTTGACTGGGTCTGAGAGAGGCCGCCGTTCTGTTGGTAGACCCCCAGTACCCCCTTCCAAAGCTGTAAAGTTGGCCTCAGTAGTTGTCAAACCTGAGAAGAATGAAACTCTAAAACATATGTATATCAAGGGCAAGAGGCCCAAATTCCCTGAGAAGAAGTTTGTCCCAAAAAGGACTAAGTTGGAGAGTTTACCACCGCCTCCAAGAACCCCAAAGTTCATTCTCCAACTTCAACGAGTCCAAGTTAAACCTCCTGCAGTCTTGATTGAGTCGATGGATGTTCAACCTTGTTCTCCAGTTGTTGTAGTAGATAGCCCTCTTGCAGCCAGTCCAGTTCCTGATTAAGTTATGATTCCAGTTGATGATCCGGTTGTTGATAGCATAGATTTATGTGTCATTCCTAGGCTTCCCACACAGGAGTCTGAGGACCTTACCTTACCTGATGTAGGAGCTATTTCTCTACAAGCTCCTGCTTCACCTCCTGAGGTATGTGCCCCTCTCCCTATAGAGAATGCCACTTTTCTGACTACCGATCTTTGGACAGTCGAGAAGGAAGGAATTGATCTAGATCTTGAGATAGATAAAGAGCTAGTTACAAAGCCTCAACCAGATCCTAACCAAAAACTTAATGAAATCATTGCTCTCCTGGATTCTGAAGAATTATTCGATATGGCTGAGTACAAAGGATACTTGCCCCTCGATCCTAAGTCAATTGGGGATAGACCGCTTGAGGAGGTAGTTCAAGAAATAAGAAATATTTTGTTGAATAAAGAGGGAATGGCTTCTTTCGACCCAGACCTGGATGACCTCCTTGGAGAGGAAGATGATTACGTTGGTAGCATTTCCATGGTCGAAACTAGATGGTCCAACAAAGAGGCCGAACCTAGTAGGCGATGGCTTACTAGAGATGATGATCCACATGTTGCTGAGTCCAATTCAGATGAGTCTGTAAGGGCTAAGGGTGAGGATCACATTAAAGATTTGGAGAATCAGTTGACAACTATGATGTCACAAGTCAAAGAAATGCAAGAAAGATTTGATAAGTCAGAGCAGGATTTACTTAAGATTCAACAAAAGGCTCGAGAGATTATGGAAAGGGTTAGAAAGACAGAGTCTGGTCCCAAGCCTTCCGAGTCAACACCAGTGATCCCTCCTTGCCTACCAAAGGCATCTTCTGTAGCACCTACAGTTCCCCCTGTCCCTCCAACTCTGCCTCAGAAGGATATTAAGTAACTGATTGAGGACCAGGTAAGGGAGGCCATAGCCTTTTTGCAAGGAACCGCATCTATTCTGAAGAGTAGACCATACCCCGAAGAATATGATTCAGTTCCTTACCAAAAAGGCTTTGTGCCGCCAACTTTTAAAATTTTCACTGGAATAGAAAACCTGAGACAACATCTGGCCCACTTCAGAGCAAGTTGTTGCAATGCGGGATGGTCAGATGCTATACTATTTTGCCAATTTGTAAGTAGTCTATATGGCATCGCTTTTGAATGGTACGCCTATCTGCCCAATGGTTCAGTAAAAACCTTTAGCGATCTAGAAAACCTTTTCCTTAAAAGATTTTCTGGAGCACAACAATGAACTACTGTGGGCGATCTTGTTGTTGAGAAACAAAAGTCTGGAGAGTCTCTGGTTGAGTACATCTTGAGGTGGCGAAACCTCTCGATGAAGTGTGAACCCCAGTTGCAAGAGCAACATGCGGTGGAAATCCTCCTTAAGAATATCCACAGCCCTATTGCTTTTCTCCTGAAGGGTTTCACCATTAAAACTTTTGAAAAACTTCTTAATAAGGCTAGCAATTTACAGGAAGAGGCTCATAAAATGCCATTCCTACGAGAGCAGTCTGAAGACAAGAAAGTTACTAGATTGGTTAAGACTTTTGAGAAAAAGGCAGTAGTGTCGGCAGCTGACAAGGGAAAAAGATCAATGGCTAGTCAGTCCAGTGTTCCTCCACCACCGCCACCACAGCCAGCTTAGAGACAGCCCTTTCAGGTCACTCCTAAGTACACCAGAGACCCTAACTTTGTCCCTTTTAGAGAGAGATTGGAAAAACCTTATCCATTTAAGAGGGAATCAGTTAAGAGGATTTTCAAGAGTTTGTTTAAGAAACCAGATTTTCAGCTGCCAGAGGCCAGGAGGCCTGAAGATGAAAGTAAGAAAGATGATCCCAAGTATTGCCCATACCACCGGATGCTTAGTCACCCTCTTGAAGACAGTGTTGTGTTCAAAGATTGGCTTGAGAGGAACTACACCCAAGGTAATATCATAATTCCTAAGGAATACTTGGTCGATCTAGAGAAAGCTTACATTAAAACCATTTCAGGTAACTCTCTTAACTCTCCTTGTCTTGTTGAAGATGGTTGGGACATTGCTTTGTACCGGGCACTTAAATAGTCGATTAACAAGTCTTTTCGTCTTTGTCAACAGCTGACTATGATAGCCCAGGCCCCGACGTGGAAGGTTGACCTTTATGCTTCGCAGGAGGATGTTGAGCCACTTTCCTCTCCGGTAGTCACACGAACTACTGTTAAGTGTTTAAAAGAAAGAGAAGTTGATTTTGTAGAGAGGAAGTGTGTAGATGAGAGATGAATTAGGATGGCGGATGGGGGTGTTAAAACCCTCTCCCCTCTTTTGTTATCTGACTTTTACTTTGCCCCATCAAAGGCGAAGGGTCAGAAGATGAATAAAAAACATCCTTCTGCTTCTGTCTTGACGATTAACCATGGAAATGAAATGCAAGTTGATGTCTCTCATGTTTTAAATCAAAGTTCTGTTGAAGAAAGTCTTAATATCAAAGAAATTGACCTTCTGAATCAGTTATTCAAGAAGAAGTTGAATGTGAAGCTTTATCAGAAAGTGATTTCCCTCAAATTAATTTTCAAGCAAGTCCTATCTTGATAGAACTTTCAGATTCTGACTCGCTTTCGGGAAATGATGATCCAATGCTTATGGTGTGCAAAGACACTGCCCTAGTTTGCCCTCCCGAAGATATCGAGCATGCAATTCCCGGGGTAAAGTCTTACCCCCTAGGCTTCCCCTCAGGAGAAAGGCAAGCAAATTCCCTTTAGATTTAAATCCAAATTCCCTCAGCAATAGAATTTCCTCTAATTCCTCCGGGTTTTGAGTCCGTTTTCCTAGGTGATTACAACGTTTTAGCCAACTTAGGAAGTTGCCAGCAAAATTAAGTATTTATAGCCCTCCTTCTCTCCAAAGAAATGAGGGAGTCTTTAAATAAAGCGCTTCTCGACCCCGAGATTTGCTTAACCCAGTTTCCTGCAACTTCAAAAGGTGAGGCATTCTATTCAAAGAGGTTCCTGGGTTACTTTTCAGATGAAATTTTCTCTTGAGAACTGCTGACCCTAATCGTCCCCTTTACATTACTTTAGATGTGGGAAATTTAAGTTATCAAGAGTCCTCTTGATTGGTGCATCGGTCAACATAATGAACATAAAAACCCTCGCATACCTCAGAGTGTACTAGCAAGCTCTCAACCGATAGGTTGGTGCTTGTTGGTCATGAAAAGGGAGAGAGGGGCTTAGGTTCAATCACTTTTGCTCTTAGAAATAGGAGACTTGAAAACTGAAAGCTAAGTTTCAATTAATTGATTCGGCGACGTCCTTAATGCCCTTTTAGGTAGACCCTGGACATGAATATAGAATGGTTCATCTACCCTTCATTCCAATGCATCAGTACCAACAGAGTGGCATTGAACACGTGATTTAAGGGTTGATCTGCAACCATTTTGATTCAAGAAATCGGGATCTACGAAGATGCTACATATTTTGTTCCAAAAGGGTCCTCGTCCTGCTCTAAGTTAGAGATCAAAATTGAGGAGAAATTGGTTGGACAAAAGTCCAATCAAGAGAAAGAAAAAGAAAAGTTTACTGATCAAGAAATGATACAATTAAGTAGTGAAGACGACTCTGACATCATTGTCCTTAGGCCTCCAAACACATTACCTCAAAGAGGTGGGAGGATGGCCTTAAGGGCACGAGGTCGAGGCCGTGCTTCATCAGAGAGGAGAACAACACCTGTTTATATTGATTTGGAATCAGATTCCGACGTTGAGTTCAAAGATCAAGGTGCTGCCTTCTCCCTCAATTATAAAAATACAAATACTTCTCCAAAATTTGATCTCACCTTAGAGGAGGACAGTTACATTGAGGAAGATGTTGTAAAGGTGAAAAGTGACGAGCCTGAATTGACAATATACGAAAAGCTCAGTAGAAGGATTGAGGCCCTTTCTCTGACCCCACTATCAGTTGGTAGGATTGCCGGGTTAGAAGTTAAAGGGCCCCCAACTTGAATGGCGAAGTAAAGAAAGTCCAGAAATTCTTTCCTGGCTCCTCCTCCGCAAGGGATGAAAGTGATGTAACCCTTGAGGAGGCAGATTTTAATGAATTAATGGAATTACCTTTCGACTACTTCCCTATTTGTGTAAAAAATACTTTCTCTAAAGGTCCTGTACAATACTGATGGACTAAGGGTCAGGCTAGATACCATGAAAATATTTGGCAAGCAAAAATTAAGAATAATCCTACAAGTGGTATCGGCTTTGGAACTGTTAGTTCATTCGATGACGATGAGTATTGCCTAATGATAACTTACCATCTTGAATCGCCAAATGTCCCTACAGATCCTTTCTATGCTCTTGATGGGCTCTATTTGGAGACTTTAGATGATCCTGATGACCTTCGAGTTCAGGATGCACCCCGTGAATTAGAAGAAGAAATTAAATCGACAATCGATGAATTAAAAGAAATTAACCTGGGAACCTGATGATGACCCCCATCCAATCTTTATAAGTGCTCTACTAAGCGAGGGTGAAACCAAAGATTTAATTCAACTATTGTCTTAGTTTAGGGATTGCTTTGCCTGGACATATGACGAAATGCCAGGTTTACCTGCTGAGGTAGCGATTCATAAACTTGGAGTTCGGCATGATGCCATTCATGTCAAATAAGTTCCTCGACGCATGCGCTTGGAAATCGAGAAACAAGTCGTTTCTGAAGTTAAGAAATTGGCCGAAGCCGCATTTATTCGAGAGGAACAATACCCCTCTTGGGTGGCCAGCGTCGTGCCGGTTCGAAAGAAAAATGGTCAAATTTAGATTTGCGTCGATTATAGGGATCTGAATAAGGCATGTCATAGGGACGAGTTCCCTCTACCAATACCAGAACTCATGGTGGACATTTCCTCCTCACATTCCATTTTCTCATTCATGGATGGCTCGTTGGGTTATAACCAAATCAAGATGGCCCCAGAAGATGAGAGAAATACTGCGTTCAGAACCCCTATTGGATTCTTTTGTTACAAGGTGAAGCCATTTGGCTTAAAGAATGCCCGGGCAACCTACCAACGGGCCATGACCCATATCTTTGACGACTTAATTCATAATCAAGTTGAGTGGTATATTGACGATTAAGTTGTCAAGAGCAAAGTCAAAGAGGCTCACCTGTATGACTTAAGAGTTGTATTTGAGCGATTGCGTCGCTACGATCTAAAAATGAACCCCTTGAAGTGTGCCTTTGGCGTCACCTCAGGGAAATTCTTAGGTTTCGTAGTGACGCATCGCGGTATTGAGATTGACCCTGCTAAAATTGAAGCCATCTTAGATATGCCACCTTCTAAGAGCCTTACCCAGTTAAGGTCTCTACAAGGTAGATTGGCGTATATAAGGAGGTTTATTTCTAATCTTTACGGGAGATGTCTACCCTTTTCTGTCCTTGCGAAAAAAGACACTAAATTCGTATGGGACAAGAAGTGCCAAAATGCTTTCGATGACATTAAACAATACCTTTCTAACCCACCAGTTTTGGCAGCCCCAATTTCGGGAAAGCCATTAATTCTCTACACTGCAGCCTTAGATGAGTCTTTAGGTGCCCTGTTGGCTCAAGTCAATGACGAAGAAAAGGAGAAAGCTCTGTATTACCTTAGTCGAAGACTTCTTCCTACTGAAATTCGATATCCGTCAACTGAAAAGCATTATCTTGCTTTAGTTTTTGCAACCCAGAAACTGAGGCACTACATGCTCTCCCACTCAATCAGTTTGATTTCAAGAGTTAATTCTTTGCAGTATCTTATAACCCGACCTACGTTGTCAGGATGTTTAGCCCGTTGTTCTATGATATTACAATAATTTGAGATTACTTTCACTCGCCTTCGTGCTGTGAAAGGACAAGCCGTTGCCGAGTTTCTGGCAGCACACCCACTACCGGCAGAATCTCCTCTGAACGATGATTTACCCGATGAACAAATCATGAGTTTGAGGGAATCTGACGAGGCCATCTGGGAATTGTATATTGATGGAGTAGCATCCTCTTGTAGGAATGCGACATAACAATCTATAATTCCTGGAAAGGCTGGAGTTGGTCTAATTTTTATAACACCAGAAAAAGGAATGATGCATTTCTCCTACCATTTATTGGAGCCCTGCACAAATAATCAAGCTGAATACGAAGCTCTGATAATCGGTTTGGAACTTGCAATTCTAATTGAAATTAAAGAGATTAAGATCTTTGGAGATTCCCAATTGGTGATTAACCAAGTGACCAGAACCTATAAAGTCTTGAATCCTAATCTCCTAAGATACCACCAGTACACACTTCACTTGTTGGAACAGATTCCTACCGCCACTTTGTATAGGGTTCCCCGTGGAAGTAATTTCGCAGTGGATGCCTTAGCAAAACTTGCAAAGGAATTTGCGTGTCCTGAGGAGGATTCCATCCCTATAGAGATTCAGGGTCGTAAAGCCCTCTCTCTTATAGATTTGGAACACATCATTAAGACTCCCCTTCAGATCATTACTTCCTCTTCGACAACCGACGAAGAAGGCGATTGGAGACGACCCTTAATCGACTACCTTAAATAAGGGAAGCTTCCCTAGGATAAATCACTCTCCAACCAAATTAAGAAACATGCCCTATCTTATGCACTAGTAAATAATTTACTGTACCGTCGGTCCTTCGATAACATGTGGCTGCGCTGTTTAGACTAGTGAGAAGCCCTAAAGATTATTAATGAAGTTCATTCAGGACTATGCGGTGCACATCAATCGGGTCAAAAAATGAAATTGAAAATTAAAAGACTTGGATACTACTGGCCTACAATGATTGACGATTGTATGAATACTGCAAAGCACTGTCATCAATGTCAGGTCCATGGTGTGGTTTTACATCAGCCGCCTAATGTGTTACACCCTACGATAGCCTCGTGGCCCTTCGAGAGTTGGGGCACAGATATCATTGGGCCGATTGACCCTCCCTCCATGAGAGGTCATCATTTCATATTAGCAGCGAATGATTACTTTTCAAAGTAGGCGGAAGAAATTCCCCTACGCAACGTAACATCACACCATGTCTTAAAATTCTTTCGTGACCATATCGTATATCAATTCGGCATACCCCGCAGAATCATATCTGATAATGGGTCTGCATTCAAGTCTACAAAATTCAACAGTTTTGTAAGACACCATAATATTGATTGGAGATACTCGACGATCTATTACCCTCGGGCAAATGGATTAGCCGAGGCCTTCAACAAAACCTTGGTGCAAATTGTTAAAAAGACCCTTGATGATAACAAATGACAAGGGGATGAGCAGTTGGTGGAAGCTCTGTGGGCCTATCGTACCACTTATAGAACCCCGACCCAATCCACCCCGTTTGCGCTAGTGTATGTATATGAGGCCGTTCTACCCCTGGAAATACAAATCCCTTCGCTCAGGATTACAGTTTAGAATCAGATTACAAATGAACAAAATGCAAAACTGCGGTTGGAAGAACTCGAAGGCCGTGAAGAGCGACATCTCCAAGCTCAACAAAGTCTAGAGTTATATAAATCCCGTATGGTTCAAGCCCATGATAAGCTAGTGCGACCTAGGACCTTCCAAGCGGGAGACTTGGTGTTGGTCCTTCGGAGGCCTATCTTAGCCCATCAAAAGTTGGGAGGCAAATTTGAACCTACGTGGGAAGGACCCTTCGTTATAGAGACTGTCTACGAAGGAGGCTCGTATCAGTTAGTAGATTGTAAAGGAAACCACCCAATGCTACCTGTCAATGGGCGTTTCCTTAAGAAATACTATGCTTGATGTGAAAGTTCATTAGGGATGTTAAGCCCTATGAACTTAGTCCCAAGCTAACCAAGAGGGGGTTGAATTGGTATTTTAAAATTTTCTTTCACAAAAAATGAAAAACACATAACCAAATCTCCACCACAAAAAAAATGCGGAAATAAGAGTGCGGAAGCAAGAAAATAAGAACACAGAAATTTATAGTGGTTCGGACAACTCGACCTGTGTCCACTCCTTGGAGGCACCCTCCAAGTATTGCACTACAAAACGTGACTCTACTTTAGCCCCACGGCTAGGCGTAGAAGCCCTCACAAGAACCTCCTTTTGCCACCCCGGCAAGGAAGAGAACCTATCTCCTTTTGCTTCATCCTGAAGCTGGCAGAGAACCACAACCAAATGCTAACTCCTTACCCCTACCGACCCTTCACGGACGAGAAACTCTAGATGAAGAACAAGCAGAGCGATCCTTGAAGCAACCCTTGTGAATCCCTTCACAAGCTCCCCCTCACAAGTTCCTCTCTCTCTCCCTCTCTCTCTTTCTCTCCTCAAGGTCTTCTCATGTCAAGGAAGCAACCAAAGGTCTTTTAAAAATGTTGAGCAAGAGCTCTTAAATAGTAGAGCTTCAAAGGAGCTCATTAATTGCAAGTTGCCGACATTATCGTCCAGGCCGATATGGACATCGGCCTGGCCGATCAGTACAAAACTCAGAAGATCGGCCAGAGCATCGCCCTAGATACACACCTGGATGATTGAATTTTGGCTTGATCGTCTCGGCCGATCTCACCATCGTCCTGGCCGATCAGTTCAAATCAGAGGCAAATCATCCTGAGCATCGCCCTATTTTTGAGCTGGCCGATATTTATCGTCCTGATGTAACTTAAGGTTTTTGACTAGATTGTCCTGGCCGATCCTGCAATCTTCCAGGATGATATGATCGTATCAATCATCCTTAATTACTCCCTTGATTTCCTGATCAATTAAGGCCGATAATTTAAAAATACAGTATACCTTAATTGTCTATGGAGTCTACTTCTTTCTGTTTTGAGCTTATCATCCTGGCCGATACACGTATCGTCCAGGCCGATATGTTAATGAAGGCTGCCTTAATTAAGAATCATTAGTTAGACTTTCTGTTTTAAGCCTGATCGTCGTCCAGGACGATGTAAATATCGTCCTGGCAGATGTGAGCAAAAACAGAAATTCTAAGTCTCTCACGTGTGTGTGTGTGTATGGTTACTTAGCATCAGTCTTTTTGACCATTACAAGTAGACTCAAAAGGTGAAAAATAAAAGTACAGACTAACTCAACCCTAAACCTACGCAATCCTTAACTGGCTTCTTCTTGATCGTCTGATCTTCGATTCCTGAAAAGTTAGAAGCAACAAGTAATCTAAGAGAAATAGTGTTTGTCAATCATCAAAACATAAGTCATGAAAAAAAAGATTTGCAACATGAGGTAGCTCGTTTTGTCAATTAATGAAATTTTCCTTCTTGATTCGCAACCCAGTTCTTTCCTTTTTAAATTCTTTTATTTTTTTAACTCTCTTCGCCTTCTCCTTAGGGTCGGACCGTCCCCTCCCTTAGGATCGCACCCGCTAGTGGTGGAGTACGCTCTCCATGGCACCACCCTGGCATTTGACTTGGGGATTAGTGGTGGAGTACGCCCTTTATGGCACCATCCTGATTCACACTCGCTAGTGACGAAGTACGCCCTTCGTGGCGCCATCCTAGTTTTATAGTTTCGGTCCTCTGTGGGAAGCAAGTTTCCTCCCCACATGACCATTCGCTAGTGGTGGAGCACGCCCTTCGTGGCACCATCCTAGTTTGCCAGTTTTGGTCCTCTGTATGGAGCAAGTTTCCTCGACACATGACCATTCGCTAGTGGTGGAGTATACCCTTCATGGCACCATCCTAGTTTGCCAGTTTCGGTCCTCTATGTGGAGCAATTTTCCTCCCCACATGACCATTCGCTAGTGGTGAAGTACGCCCTTCGTGGCACCATCGTAGTTTGCCAGTTTCGGTCCTATGTGTGGAGCAAGTTTCCTCCCTACATGACAATTCGCTAGTGGTGGAGTACGCCCTTTGTGGCACCATCCTAATTTGCCAGTTTCCATCCGCTGTGTGGAGCAAGTTTCCTCCCCACATGACTATCCCAGTTAATTTTTCTATTAGGAGTAAGTTTTCTATCAGCATCCTATAGGCCTAAGGTTGGGTGATGCCCTTCCTTAGACCTAAGGCTAGGTATTCCCTACTTTGGTTTCCAGTTAATTTGCCTATTAGGAGTAAGTCTTCTATCAGCATCCTATTGGCCTAAGGTTGGGTGATGCCCTTCCTTAGACCCAAGGCTAGGCATTCCCTACCTTGGTTTCCCAGTCGATCTGTCTACTTGGCGTAAGTCTTATATCAGCATCCAGTAGACCAAAGGTTGGGTGATGCCCTTCCTTAGACCCAAGGCTAGGTATTCCCTACTTTGGTTTCCAGTTAATTTTCCTATTTGAAGTAAGTCTTCTATCAGCATCCTATAGGCCTAAGGTTAGGTGATGCCCTTCCTTAGACCCAAAGCTAGGTATTCCCTACTTTGGTTTCCAATTAATTTTCCTATTAGGAGTAAGTCTTCTATCAGCATCCTATAGGCCTAAGGTTGGGTGATGCCCTTCCTTAGACCCAAGGCTAGGTATTCCCTATCTTGGTTTCCTAGTTGATCTGTCTACTTGGATTAAGTCTTCTATTAGCATCCTGTAGACCTAAGGTTGGGTGATGCCCTTCCTTAGACCCAAGGCTAGGTATTCCCTACTTTGGTTTCCAGTTAATTTTCCTATTAGGAGTAAGTCTTCTATCAACATCCTATAGGCCTAAGGTTGGGTGATGCCCTTCCTTAGACCCAAAGTTAGGTATTCCTTACCTTGGTTTCTCCAGTTCTCTTGTCTAATAGGTGTAAGTCTTCTATTAGCATCCGATAGACCTAAGGTTAGGTGATGCCCTCCCTTACACTCTTAAGATTCTACCTTCATTCGGGGTTTTTTTTTTTCAAAAACCCGGGGCCCCAATGTTGGCTGTATAGAAGTTCCTTCTACTACACACATTGGGGTCCATTATGTTGACCTCATTGTTGGTAGTGAGGTACCACTATAGCCCTTCCAAAAACCCAGATTATTCTAGGTCCTAGCATCCCCATCTGGAGTTTAGATCTTTCCAGGAGCCAGACCTTAGGGCCTACTCTAGAGCTTACAGATTCTTTTCTAGATCCAAGACCTTAAGGGCCTGACTCTA